TTGGTTACCACCCTTCCAGGATGACTTAACAGGGTCAGTGGAAAAATGACTAACTTGTTCTGTGACATATTCCTAGGATTATTACAGAGGTGTTTCTGATGTACCCCTGCACATGGCAGTAATGCTCAAGGATGCCCCATGCCAAACCTCCCTAGCATCTCTCCCTGTCTGCAATCCTAAATGAGCCCCTATGCTCCTTATGCAGGGCACCTGCCTATTTTCTTTTCCACTGGAAGTGACCCACAGCCACCATCACACTGAGTGAGCAGCAAAGTAAACTAGTTGACATGAAAGAGAAGGAAGAGAAGCCTCTTAAATGGCACCTTGCTTAAGAGGTACCTCCTTGTCAGTGACTTACTCTGAGTTCTCTGCATCTGATTTATAGGACTGAGGATACCTACAACCTTTCTTCCTAAAAAAAATTACAAACTGAGTGGTGAAGGCATGTGTATCACCAGTTTTTGCCTGTAAGGACTGAAACTTGTTTCCCGTAACGGCCTATTCCAAAACATACTTGGGGCATTCTCCTCTATTCTCGACAAAGTTCCACCTTGTACTTAAACGCTGGTGGCTGCAGCAAGGAGACAAGCCTCTGTAATGCACTCACTTGCCCAGTGGAAAGGAAGAGCACCCTGCCTTCTCCTCCCTTCTCTGGGGGCTGTGTCTAATTTTTACCAAGTAGTTGCCTCATGACAGCTGTATAATCAGAGAGACACAGAGATACACACATCTTTCATCTCCCTAGGAGTTACCAACCTGTTGGGCTACAGAGTCATGCTCTTCTTCCCCTCCCACCCCCACTGAAACCAAATGAGTGGCTGGGAGTCATGTGCAGATCCAGTCTCAATGTGTCCATGTCCCTTATCGCTCTGGCCAAATGAACCACAGATCATTCCTGTGTAAAACTCATGAGAAGGGAGGGGCAAGCCTTCCTGGTGACTTCCACCCAGTCCTGCTCAGTCCCCAGTCTCACCTACTGGTGGGTTAGGCAGCAGAGAAAGACTGTTGGAAAAGGGCAGGGAGATGAACCTTCTCTTCTCCAACACCCTTGGTGAGAGCTTCAACTTCTGGATAACAGAGATGGTTCCAGCAGGACTGCTTCTGGACATACTTTAAAGGAAACCAGTGATGATTAGTGCATTTTGTGCAGGGCCTGAGCTGAGTGTGCAACAGATTGGCGTGTTGACTAAACAGACAGAGGCTGTCAGTGCAACAGCTGGAGGAACTTGTGAATCCCAGCAGCCATGAGACAACCCTTCAGTCCTGTGCCACATACTCACCCTGTGAGCCCAGAAATGCCTCGAGGCAGAATTTAGCATCTCCTGAGCTTGAAGGTCAAGAATGCAACAACTACCAGTGGATATGCCAGGCACAATATCTGTTTTATTGGTTTCATTTCCAAGAAAGTTAAAAGCCAGACTGAAGAAGAAATACACAGAATAATCTCTAGAATTTATGAACAACATTCATGTTTTTATGCAGTTCTTCCTTTTGATTTGTGTATAATTTTTAAAGAAGGTGACCTCAAAATTTGACCATGTTTTCAAGGATACCATTGAAAGTATATAAATCATAAACTGTATCTGAAACATCATAGTCATATAAGAGAACACAGAGTTCAGAGACTTCTCCTAAAAATACTGATTTCTGTTCTGTGATTTCAGCCTCCTGGCTATTATTACAGCTTGTAATAATCACCGTTTTTGCCTTGAGATTTGAGAAGCAGTTAAGTCCCACAAAAAACTGAATGTGTCTGAATAATTCATTGCAAGGAAATATGGACTTAATTTTCAAATATATAGAGGACTTCCCACATACAGCAATCTGGAAATACTGTATTAAGTACATTTCTTTTCCATATAGGGTAAACATAGATCTGCAATTAGTCCAAAGATGTAATTTTGCAGCAACAGGAGTACTTAGATAAAAGAGCCTTCATTCAGAGGAAAGGGTCTATTTTCTATATATTCTGAAGATTGAGAAGTTACACCTTATAGAGCACATAATCTTTCTATGTAATATATACAGTGTTTCAAAGCCCTTTTCATTCCTGCAGTACCTGGGTTTGTATTATACTAAGTTCTTCTTTCTTCTTTTTTTTTTTCTTTTTCACATTATGAGAGGGATGTTCCTTCTACACACTTGCAGCACACGTTATTTAAAAGTGACTATTCCTACTTCAAGATTTTCCACCGAGTTTTGGCACTGAGAAGAATTTGTGTTCATTGATAGTAGAACACATCAATACTCAACACTCCACTTACTAGACGGGAAATACTATCCTTTGTTGAGATGAAAGATTCCTTACATGTCTTCCATCAATCTGAACAGTTGTGATATTTCTTATCACTGTAGCACAAGGATGTTCCTTCTGGGAAAGTCACAGAATATAGTAATGAGAATGTTCATATATCAGAGAAAAGCTTTTTTTTTTTTTTTCCCCCCTCTGTAAAATGACAAGATTATTCTTGATTTAATATTACTAAGCCACAGCAGAGAGAAAGTGTAATTTCCTGTAAATAACAGGTCAAAATGACCAAGCATGACATTTTTAAAGTTCAAATCCTCTCATCCTTAGTTATCATACATTGCATTAAGGCTGTTCACAAACAGTATTTGCCAAGCCACTGTGTACCAAAGTGGCTTGTTTTGTAGTAAATCCAGTAACAAATGAAACAGAGCTTGCTGAGACTGGCTTTCAATTTCCTTTTCTAACTTCTGTGCAATTCTGAACAAATGACATACTGGTGAGGTGAAGGGCACAGAAGAAAGCCCCAGAGATCACCTGAAGGTCAGCATACAGCAGGTCTCTTCATATTAAATTTGCCAGAGCTGTGCTGGCTTTCTATCCAACAAAACAATGTTCTGCATAACAGAAAGGCAAAGAATGAAACAGTTAAGAGAGATTTAGATACCAGGAAACTGCTTTTCAAAGTTCCAAAAAGCCAGCTCATTACAACATCAGATAATTGACTATTAGACAGATAAAATCCCTGCTTTTCAAAGCAGACATCAAGGAGCAGTGCTTGGGTTCTGAAGTGGAAGGCACAACTCTCAAAACTGATTCTCAGTTTACATACATATGAAACACCCCTCTCCTTCCATGTATTTTATGGCAGGTTGTAAGAAACAGATAATGTCTCTTCTCATTTCCATTACAAAGCTGTGCTGAGAGACAAGTATGAGTCTGTACCAGCTGAAGTGAGTAAAACCAGTTCTTCAAAAGAATTGAAAAAAAAAAAAAAGAAAAAAAAAGAAAGAAGAAGCCAGTTAAAAAAAAGAAAGAAAGAAAGAAAGAAAGAAAGAAAGAAAGAAAGAAAGAAAGAAAGAAAGAAAGAAAGAAAGAAAGAAAGAAAGAAAGAAAGAAAGAAAGAAAGAAAGAAAGAAAGAAAGAAAGAAAGAAAGAAAGAAAGAAAGAAAGAAAGAAAAAAAGAAAGAAAGAAAGGAAGGTAAAGAAGAAAGACCATCTTTGCATTCTGATTGGCAGACTGCCTGATGTGCTTCCTTTTTCCCACTGTAGGCTGCTCCGTGGTAGTTGCTCCCCTTTCAGAATGACTCTTTGACCAATTCTTTCACAAAGCTGCCTGCTGCCTCCCAGGGGTATCCTCAAATAAGTCATGGATTGCTTCAGCCAGAAGCATTTTCACACAGTTTGAGCCAAAATTGCCCCAAGGAAGACCTAAATCATGCTGGATGAGTGTTATGATGGTGCTTTTAATGCGGTCAAGATTTCACATCTGAAATGGCAGTAGGAGCAGCCGATTGAAGCGAATTATCTCTTCCAGAAGGATTTCCTGGAAGCATGAAATCGCCCTGTGGTTGGCTGGACACACTCTGGGGGTCATAGAACACTTGGCCCCAGTGTGTTCAGTCTTGCATTACATTGTTCCATGTGTGAGTGCTGTGGATTTTGGTCCTCCCCCACCCCATGTGGCTTGCTTTATTTTTTTTAATTTTCACAGTATTCACAATTGGTATTTCAGACTAGGTTTCAGGCATCTTCTCTCAGAAATCAGAAAGCATGAATAGTATTTAGCAGAGTAAAGGACTCAAAAGCTTTCTAAGGACATTATCAAATGCACAGAATAAGAAAAAAGTATACTTTGACCCGTTTGGCATGGAGAAGCATCATAACTTTCAAGAATTCCATGAAGTGACCATCAGAGGCCATCTACAAAAAGTTTGTACAGGAAACATGACTGTATTAGTTGAACAATCTCTAATTAGGAAAAATGTGTCATCATCCACAAATATGGAAGGAAACAAGCATGTGGGAAGTCATCACGTAAAATAAACTCAATGGCAAAGTAGCACACAGGAACAAGAGAAAGAAGTTGAGGACAAATGGATGAAATTGCTTCATAGGGAATGTGTTATGTAGATGGCATACTGGATCTTCACTGATCTTCATGGCTTTCTGGCATCCTCACACACCGCTTCCAAAGAGGGAGACACAGATTTCCCAATAGCAGTTGCCTCTTCTCCAGTGCTTTCAGACTGTCCACACATCACCTTTAATTCCATTTTTGAAAAGCTGAATGGACTGCTACTCTCCTGCCACATTCTCCCACTGCTCCCTTCCCACCCACACCGTTTCCAAAATACATCCTGCATCCTCTCTCCCAATTGTGGTTTTAACAAAGCAACAGAAGGAAGTAGTGCATTGTTGTGTTTACTTTCCTTCATTGAGATGTGGGTTTCTGACAACGATCTTGGGCTTGTTTTGGGAGTCATCTACCAGTAAAACTTGATCAAACCTGTTGCATCCTGAAGCAACTGAGCAAAATCAAGTTATGGCTGCTGTAACCTAATCACAAGCAAAAACATGTAGGTGAGCTATAATTATCAAGACTTCTGCCATCTGATAACATTTACAGCAAACAGAAAATTAAAAGACTTAAGCCAGAAGCAAATGAGTGGATGCTTTTCCTTATTTTTTGAATTACCGACTACTGACTTTTCCCTGGAGTTTCATACCAATCTCATCTCCACTAGAGAATCTATCCTGAACATTTTTCTTCACCAGATGTCGGGGGCTGAATTTCTGTATTCTCCTTCAGCACTGGAAGTACTTGAGACCCAACTGATATAACATCTGGAAAGGATGAGTGCAAGGGCTGGTTCATCAGATATATGCCAAAGTTTGTCTGGAAAAAGCAAAATATTTATTGAGAAACAAATAATCAGATGTATAGAGGATCTCACAACCCAGATATGTTTAGAGAAAAAATATTGCTTCAGGACTAAGGAGGTATGTACTATCTCCATGTAATTAGGAACATTTTCACCTAATTAACTATAGTAGCCTGGTAAACAAAAGCTAGCCCCATGCTATTCAAGAATACCTTAAGTAAGTGGATAAATACCATAGTATCTCATAATGAGTTCCACAGTATCATATATGTAATTTACACTCCCTCACAGTCTTGTAATGTAATGAGTGTTCTAGCTTCTTGACAAATACAGCTCACAAATGAAGGCTAGGCAGCACAAGACTGCACGTACGTTCCAACAGCGAGGAGACGTCTTGCATCTTCTACCATGAATTATTTGCTTTGTTAACAGAACTATGTTCTGCCCAGCCTTTGTGGATTTCCCTTCATTTGTTTTAGAGAAAAGATTCAGAAAGTTTGTTTTATTCGGGCTACCATTTGTTATCTGTCATTACCTGTGAGGTCAGCCTACATAAATATATGAAAGAATGCATATATATGTCCTTGTGATACTGGATAATAAAAAGAAGAGGAACAGAACCAGCTCACCCACTGACCATACAACCCTTGCAGGTACCAAAAACCTGATCTGAGTGTCTGCCCTCTTTTGTGTGGTCTTAATCTCAAGCAGGTTGAATGTTACAGCTGTAGCTGTGAATCTGGAAGGGTCACAGCAAAAGACTGGTGTGTTTTTGTGGTTTTGTTTTCCTACAGCGGAAAGACTAGAAATGCACAAGAAAGAGACTTGCAGTCTCATAATGATATTTTCCAAACAATTAGATAATATTTAATTAAAGAAATATGTAAAGTAAGAAATAAAAGGATGCCAAAGGCCATGTTAAATAGATAATTCATTTGTAAACTTCAGAAGGTATTTGTTCTTCAAACTGAGGACCTTGGAAACCAAATATTACTTTTCTCATCTTTTTTTTAATCATGTTTCAATAAAAAGAGTTGGTTTTGGTAGGATATAGCTGAAATGCACCAGTCATTCTAAAGCATAAAGCAAATAAAAAAGCAAATTAAATTAATTTGGTATTTCTGAAAAAAAAATAATAATAAAAAATTAAAGCCAAAACTCTACTCTCCTCCGTTTCCTGATCACTTTTACTGCTGTTGTTCAGAGTGATGATCCTGAAATTGAAGAAAGTATGTTTACAGAAGGTTTAGAAAAATATACCAGGTAAAAGGAATTGCAATAAATAAATAAAAAAAATTGTTAGCCGAATTTAAGGGAGCATATTTGACAGATCAGGTCTATCCCATTAATGACACTTTTTGGATATCTGTGACTGTAATGGTGTTAACACTGGTGGACACAGGGCAGATCTTTCTGGCCAGTGTTCTAGTATTTAATATTGAGGAATGACTGCAACACAGCAAGCTCCCAATCCTCTAGCACAGTGACTGTGTTGGATCAACCACAATGCTAAAATCATAAGTTAGTAACTGTTTCATTTGATTTGAAATACTAAACTATATAGCATTTTTTCTCCCTTCTTGCTTTTCTCTTATTTGTAGACAAGCTATGGTTTCTCTGTTGGCATAAATGTTTTTCAGCCTTGTGGTTAATAAACTGGATTTACTTCCTACACCCTACTGCAACAATAAGAGTTTTTATTGTTTTAAAAAATCAGACAACCATAAACCAGATATTGTAAAATTAGTATTAGTCCATGCTACACCACATTTCACAATGAAAGGAATTTTATAACTCATCCATGTCAATCAACTTATTTGATATATGAAAAGTTTTAATTTATATTTTCTCTATTGACATCTTGATTTACCTCAAAAAGAGACTAAAATATGGCCAGATTTTTCACTGTGGAGAATTTAATTTATCAATATTTCTATTGAAGTTAATCACCTAGGAAGATTTTTTTTTTTTTTTTTTTTTTTTTTTCTGGAAGTACTTTAAACTATTTGTAATTATTTAAGAAAAAGCAAGGGTGAATACATCTTGTCTTCAGGAATACTTAAATAGTATTTTAGCACTGGTGCTTAGTATTTTCTGACTCTGATTGGGAATTCAAAGTTTCATAGTATTTTTTTCAGTGCCAACACTGGTAATGCCTAAGGAGTTTCCAAGGTGAAACTCTGATGGCATACTAATGGTACACATATTCTAGTTAACCTCTTTCTTTTGTGATTGTTCTTAAGACCAAAATTTTTCTTCTGATTACCAGAAGTGGATCTTTTAAGCAATTTTCCTTGTTTTTTCAATAATTACAAATATTGACTCAGCAAATACTGGTAATAGCACATTTCCCTCTCCCTCCCAGCATCCTGTCCTTTCAGCTCTATTTCAAGAGAAAGTTAAGTTGTAGAAATTGGCCCATCTCACATTTCACTGTTAAAAAATGAGGCTTTCAGACACAGAGATTACAGCCTGCAGAGTTATTACAATGAACTGCATAATCTCTCTCTGCCGTTGCTACCTTTTCCTGACTTCAAGGGCATTTTATGCTGCGTATAACCTCCTCAGAACACACCAAGAACTGGGCAGGGAGTTCTGGACCATGACTTCTGTGGCTTTATCAGCTTGGTCTTCTGATTGCAGTAGGGGCTCTTCCCATCACTCTTATACTTCACACAGAAAAGCTCCACACATAAAGCTTCACACATAAAGCTCCTTGATTAATAAAAAGCACAATACTTCACTGCTAGGAGAAATAGATAAAACGTACTTATTCTTGCCAACAGTGAATCATATGATAGTCATCACACTCACTTAAAGGAGGAGCTACAACATGCTGTCATTCTTGCATGTTGTTTCAAGTACATTTACTGGATCAACTGTAATATGCACTGCTTAGACATTCACTGACAGAGAAATATTCTGGGTGAAGTATCTCCTTTTGTAAGATAGAAGCCTGAGGTGCTACGTCTGACAAAGACTGAGATGAGATGCTTCCAAGCTACAGCACCCAAACAATCAGTTAATTCAGACTAGCACTTAGGTAAAATGCCCTGCTAGAATGTATAACAACCACAGAAGTGACACTGCATGACAAAACTTAGCTTTAGATAAATGAGTTCTGGATTTTGCCCTGGTTGTAGCTCTTAGCTCCGTTCTCCCAACAGATAAATTTACCAGTTCATGTCTGCTAATTTTATTCATAGAATAACATAACCTCCCTCCCACATAAAGTCTGGGAGATGCAATTATTAAACCTGTTTTTGGTTTTTGATCGGTTGGTTTTGGGTGTGCGGTTTTGGAAGTTGCTTTCGTTTGTTTGTTTGTTTGTTTGTTTTGGGGGTTTTTGTTAGTTTTGTTTGTTTGTTTTTTAAATGTAAAGGTGTTTCATTAGCTCTGGATTCACAAAAAACTTATTAGTAAAACCTATAGGAAAGTACAAGTGAGTACTCACTTTCAACATGCTGATTTTTCATATTGGAAAAAAGAGAAACATTTCAATTGGTGTAAAAAAACCCCATCTGGTTCTCTTGAACATAGCTGGGTAGCAGAATGTTTTCCTAAGAGCTGACTTTCCTTTGATCTACCTTAAATAAATGCATTTTCCAGATCAGACACCAATGAGAAAAGAGAACTACATTATTTCAGAGGTCTATTAATTACATCAATGACTGTTTGCAAATGTTCCAGATCTTTGGATGAAAAGCGTTGCAGAGTGTGAAGCCCTGCATTACTATGAAAATGATGATAATGATGCATCAAATAAGAGAAGTCATTTGCTATCCCTGCTATCGTTTCAGTAAGCAAGCCAAAGACACGGCTCTAATTCTGCAGGGAAAGAAGCTCTCCCAAGGCACAATGAGATACATAAAGGAGGATCAACAGCCCGCAGGAAAAAAACACAAGCTTTTTAGTGTACGAGGGCATGTGCAAACAAAATGGATTTCCCTTGATGTACCGCTATCCATACATTTATGCCGGGCAGACTGCTAATGTAATTCCTTATGCTACCTTGACAGCAAGTCCCAGCTTATAGCACTGCTGCAAATCTACCCACAGGGCTTCCCCTATTGTTAGTTAAACTGCATCTGCAGAACACAGAAGACTGGCAAGAATTCAGTGTTCTCTCCTTTCTGTCCATGGATGTTTTGCATTAGGTGGTGATGCATGTGAAACGGTGTGTGGCTATTTTTATGCTATTTGCTTAATGGAGTTATCTAGTCTTTCACAGTCTGGTGAAGAAACAGAGAGCTCTCTCACACAGTGGAGCTCATCTTTCCTTTTCAGTCAAAAATCACAGAAGAAATACTTAATGATTGTTTCTTCTGAACTGATGGCAGCAGAGAGTTGGCTTTGTACACGTGTTTGCTTTTTATTTCAAACAATGTGACAAAATGTTTCATAAAAAGTAGGTGGCTAGGCTTCAGCACCCTGCTTTACACTTATCAGGAAACATGCAGATTGCTTATGTGGCTAATTACAGTAGCTGGTTCTGACTTTCAGCTGCAATCCACCTATGCAAAGCCTCAATCTTTCAACCTGGAGCACCAGGTTCTCAGAGGAATGGAGAAAAATATTCTTTCAGAAATAAAATATCAAACCACCTCTTACAAGCCTTACTTTATTTAGCTCATTATTGAAATTCATTGGCACTGCTTTCATTTGTGCTATCAGTTTGATAAAGCTCAACAGATTTTTCCAGGTCGGTGTTCCTGGAAAAGCAAAACAAAATGGTAAATACTGACATCTGGCTCCCTTGTTAAGCATTTGGGATTTGCTACCCATTCCTGCGTGTAGAATCCGTAACATTTTGGAAATCGAGCAACTACAACAGCCTTTCAAAAATACCAGTTCCCCTTGCACTGGGAAATTAGCTGAAATCTTACTTTGTTCCATCTGTTTTTTGTAGTTTGAATTGCATTGACAGCTGGGAACAAGTATTGCTAAATTCCTTCACTGAATCTGTATCTGATAAAAAAAGAAAAAAAAAAGTCTATGAGATGACACCTTAACAGAAAAGCACATGCTAGAGACATGAGTCACCAAAGGATTAGCTCTGCAATTTAACACAGTCACATGAACTCGATGTTCTTTCTCTCTCCCCGCTGTGAACTGTGAAAGGTTTGGATCAATGTCCCCTGTTAGGTCTGCTCAGCACACTGAAGATGCCATGCTCCTTGCATGTTACTCACTAATAACCAGCTTGTGACCACCACCCCACAGGTGACTTGCAGGAGGGGTAGCCTTGGAGGTCTTCTGAGACCAGTTCAGGCAAGATTACCAGTTCAAACTATCTCTATCAGTTGTCAAGCTAACCTAGAGCCTTAGGTAGAGCAGGGCATGCTTATCAGATCCCATCTGCCAGCAGCGCTGAAGGCTGGGGAAAATACAAAAAAGCCCCTGAAGGCCTGGTTCTCTGAAGCATGAATATTGTTGTGCAGTTGAGGGAAGCAGAGCACTCCCCTGCTGTGAACAGCAGCACTGTGCTCTGCAGTGCCTTGCCATCTTTTATCTGGTGCCAGCTTGTTCTCGAGAGGCTGGATTGCTCTCTTTGTCTAAATTCTGCTTGAACGAGCTATTTGGTTTTAGGAGTGCTTGTATCAAAAAATTGTGCATTGCTGAGTTAATCAGAGTGAAGGAGAAGCCCATCTTTGCTGTGGGAAACATGCAGAAGATGCTGTGCCTCTGCTGGGAATCTGTGTCCTGGGTAAGATTTTGTTGCCATGTGAGAAGGTCTCTGAATACAGAGTGCTTTTCCCCTGCAAAGGATTCAAGTCATAATCCAGCAAAACCCATGTAGGTAGAGAAAGTCCTCCGCATACAGCGCCCAAGGTGGCAGCATCCCTGCCGCAACTGGCTCTGGAGTGTCCCAGATACTCCAGCTGCAGCTCACCATTACCTGGAGAGAGCTCTTGTCCTCAGGCTACCCTCCATGGCCAGGAGCTCACTGCACAAAGCTACACATGCTGTGGCAATCTGGATGCCAGAGCCTGCTGTGCAACCGTAAGTCATCTCAGGTCAGGGGGAAGCTCGCCTGTCCCCATCTCGCTCTGCACCAGGCAGTTGGCTCCAGACAGACCCAGCAGAGCTATTCACCACGGATAACATTAATTGAAAATGTAGCCCTTTGTTTGCTTAATGAGTCACTGAGACAAATCAATTTATTATTTTTTCCCCAAACAAAGAACGCATTATTTGTAACTTGTTTGTGCATTGTTTGGGTGAATAATTTTCAACCTATTTGTTATTGCTCTGCCTCTGTGCTGTGCCCAGTCTCTGGTGTTTGGGTGGCACTGGTGAGGCTCTGAGCCTCGACTGGCTAACAAACTTCTACAACAGAAGTTTAACAAACAGGAAGCAATTAATTTAGAGTAAGAATTTTCAGCTAAATAAATACTTAGGAGAAGACTTGTGAAGCTTTTGGGATGCCAAACTGTCTAGCCACCTTCTGAGCATTCTCAACTCCAAGAAACAATGCAACCTTAGGAAGAAGGGCTCCAAAGGAATGCTTATATTTCACACTTATTCTCCAGTCGCTTTCTTCATCAGTTACTCTCCAATCTGACTATATTCCCATCTGCTCTATTTTTCTTGCTGAGTAGTTTCTCACAGTAAGAATGAAATTTAGTCTTACAAGCTATCCCTATTGCTTCAAACACTTCCTGATTTTTCTGCAGGTTTCTCCTCGTCAGGGACATCAGCACACCAACTTGTGTTTTTAGAGACCAAAATACACACATTGTAAAGCATAAACACGTACTGAATAAATGCAAGCACAGTAAAACTAATGCATATTAATAGTCAATTTCTGAATGAAAATAGTGTTGAGCATTTTATGGAAATAAACCATGTCATATCTGGGTTGTAAGTGCATCCTCTTTTTACTGAAAAAACAAATGGAAACGATTAGCTTAAAAACTTAATAATGAATATTCTCTCAGCAGATATTTCATTATACAAGCAATGAAGTCACTAGATATTTCTATATAGCTATTTTGGAGTACTGTACTGACCTTTCTGCCTCTGGCAGCAGACAGAGACTGCAGAAATTCCTTGTTTCGTTCCCCAGACTGTTGATCAATGCAGATTATTTGACATCTGCTACACGGACCTACAACCTGTTAAATAAGGTCTACAGTTGTATATAAAAGCAGTACAACACAGAAAAGTAAAAGCTTTTGACCATCATAATATCTTAAAAACCTTTATTTAGCATACTTTTCCTGTGTTCTTGTATGCTTGAATTATGTAAGAGGTCATGCTCATTCACCTATTGTAGGTGTGTTTTCAAAAGGTCCACTTGTGAAGGTTTCACTAAATTTTTAATTTACTTTTTCTTTTCTTCTTTTGGGGAAAACTTTCCCAGAGACAGAATCTGAGAAATCAAAGCCATTTACATATTTTTATTTCCTGATTGCTTCACTTCATTTAAGGGCTGGCAGGGCTACTTGCCCCAAAGGGAACTGAATACAAAATAAAATTAGTGCCTCAGGATTTAACCCAAGGAGGATTTTCTTGGAATTTAACTAACGGGGTTTGGTTTACATTGTTTCAGTGCAGCTGAAACACACATTATCTCCCATTCTTTCTTATAGGCACAGCACTTGCAGATAATCAGAATCTAGGATGTGAGTTTTCACAAGTTGACATAATCAGAAGGAATAATGAGAATCTCTATTGTTACTTCATAAAGAGCATGGTTCTTAAAACTAATTCTTGTTTGAACTAGGGCGTGTTTTTAGGAAAAAACCCTCTGTAATGTATTTCTTCTTACCTTTTAAAGTACAACAATTAAGAACAAAGACATATTTCAGTTTCCCTCAATATTTCAACCACAACTCTAGCAAAGTTGAATGTTACAAAAACTAACTTAAATTACAGAACTTAACAGTATCTCAATATACATATTCTACTTTCATAAAACGTGTCATAAATTTCAAACAGGGCAAATAAAGAAACTTGACACTGCAAACATTTTTATGTGCTGGGTTGAAGTGCTATTTCTGTTCTTTGAGGTACATGTAGAACTGCTTGTACAACTCTTTAGTGTAATCATCAAAACCATATATTTAGCTTAATTTTTTCAGATGATTTTCCACAGCTTTAATATTTTATTAAAAGAACAAGAAAACAAGACAGTGAAGGAAATACATTTTTCCTGCTTTGCTTTGTTCAACAGCTTTTTCTACCATTTTCCTGTCATCAAGTACCATTAAATAATTTCCATTGTTAGTGCACCAGTATCTGAATAGGGACCTAGTAGAGACTGGAAAAGACAATGAAAGTTGCAGAAGCCGTTCTATTTTCAGCTTCCATTCCTAAAGTATTTCAATGCCATTATCCTGTAATTTTACTGTATCTTCCCCAACAAGATCCTGCGCTGAGAACCCTAAAGCAACTCCACTCTCCAACAAGCTATATACACCAAGGATTTTGTCTTTATCTCCTTCCTAAATAAATGTTTCCTCAATTTTCTTTAACTCATATTTTGGCTTACTCATCAATGTATGCATAAGAAGAGAGTAAACGTCACAATTTCCACCCTGACTGAAAAAATGGCCTCTCAATTTCTTACAGTATGCTGATCAGAAAGACATAGGACTGATGCCTATTACAGCTTCAAGATCTGACCTTTGCACTTTTATTATTCACACCATCAGCATCAACCATGAAAGAAAAAATAAGTCATTTTCATATCCTAGGCAGTGCATTTTCAAATACATATTTAGTATCTAAGGACCAGACAAATCCAATAGAACTTGTAATACATGTATGCATCATTCCCTTATGTTTCATATGTAGCTTCTTAATGGATCCTTTGTTGAAGTTTTTCTTAAAAAAATGTATTTGCCAACAAAGTCTAACTCTTCAGCACTTTCCTCACAGTACAAAGCACATTATGTTGTTAGATATGACCTGAAGCATAATATATGAAAAAGCCCAACCAGGCTAGTCTTGGAACAGTCTTGAATAGAGACTAAGACAAAATTCATACAGCAGTGGGCAGTAGAGAGCGATTGTTCACTTACACACAGTCATTTGGCAGTTGCCTGATGTACAGCAATCCAAGGTTGTATTTGGACTATTATGCTTAACAGCAATCAGTATTCTCTCCTGACATGCTGGCTAAATCTTTCCTGCAAATTGCCTCAAAACACTGATCATTTTTCCACTCTGTTGGATAGAGGTGGGAAATGTTCTGAATTACAAAATAAATAAAAAATGGCACGGAGAAATATGTCAAAACCTCTCAATTATATTGAAGCATGTTTGCCACAGGTCACAGCATGTTTGTTCTTTATACACGCTTCATAAATTTCATCTGCACAAACTGCACTGGTCAAGTTCCAGCCAAAGCCTTGTGAAAATTGCTTTGTCTGCAGGGGTCAAAATACTTTGTGATAGACTGGGACTAGGACAAGAGATACGGGGTCACACCTGGAATCGCAGAGCACCTATTGAAATCTCAGCCCACTCTTCCTCTTCAAAGGACTCTGGTGCACTGATGACAATGTTAGCACGGAAACGTCGGATTAATTCCTCTAATTCCAGTGGCTCTTCCAATCTGTTTCACAGAGTAGGCAGAATTAAAAAAAAAAAAAAAAGGTTTACTAACTAGTTCTGCACCAGGTATTTGTGCTCTAAGAATCTAGTGGTTAATATGATTCAGCAAATGTTTCTCCAGAATAACCTGGACCAAGTTTTATTACAAAGGCTATGAAAAATGGCACTATAATCTGTAAGCTTTCAGCTATAGTTTGCAATCTCTTGACTACAGATCTTCTAGGTGGCTTCTTCAGAGGTGTTACTTGGAACTGTGAAGTAGGTATGAAAGGATGTAGGCAGGCAATTGTGAAAAATGGACATGAAAAATTTCTTATTAGCTGTCGTATGTAAGCCTTTTCATTTGGTAACAATGGTAAATGAAAAGATCTTTTGAGTTAGCAATCATTTGACTCGTTAAATGCTTCTAAAAAGAAGGCAAATAGAAACTTACTCTGCATGAGGACAACAGATGCTGAAGGTGAAAAAGGCCAGTAAAGGCATTTTATGAGAGAATGTATTCCTCATATTATTATAATTTGCCTTTGGGATGCAGAAGATTGCACCAAAGGATAGGTGTTTGGAAAAAAATTAATCTCTGTGTGATGGTATCTCCACCTCTTTACAAGCATTTGAACTGCCAGAGTGTAGATTTGTGTCCGTGCAGAGAACATATATGAGGCAGACAGAGCAGCAGACTGCATACAAATATCAGAAATCTGGCTGTACCTTTGAAATGTCATTCTTTAGTCTTCTTCTAAAAGAGAACCTGACCACTACCAGAAAAAAAAGACAGCCCTAACATTTTCAAGGGAGTTCTCTCAGCACCATTGTAAGTGGGGAAGAGCATTTCTTTTTGCACTAGCTATTATGAACAAGAACATCTTAAAATACTTTATCAACTGTGGTTTGACAGCTTTGGAATATGACACCCTACAGTCAAGGCAGAAACCTCGGTAAGTAGTGAAAAGAGAGCTACTGTCCTGAACAAAATATTTTTAAAAATTAAAGGCATACAGTTAAAAATGTACTTTCATTAAAATGCAACATCAAAGCACAGGAAAAACTGTTCACATCAAGCAGTATTGGCAGAAGAGGCATGTTAGGTGAAAAGAAGAGCTTGACTTTATTTAAAATTGTCTGGATGATCTTCTTTAGCAGACAAATGTGCATGAGGATAAACTGCCTGTGCAGGCTTTCAGTCAAACCACGCAAGCCCTGATCCACCAAGCATCTGCTGTTCACAAGGGTTTCAGCAGCCTGAGGGGTAGAAGGAAAGCGTGATGGGAAGCTGCAGGGCTACAGGTTTTCTCTGGAGATCCCACCAGCAATCCCATGACTGAGACACAATTCATAATGATTGCAGGAGACAGGAGTCAACAGAGAGTGTAACCTATGCTGCAGCTCAGGCAGACAGGGAGGAAAATAGCAGTTAGGTGTGAACCAGTTCAGTTAGGCTGTTGTGCTTCCTAGCTGTGCTGTGGGCTCCTGTAGCTTGGATGCCCTTCTAGTTCTGAATGCATTTTGTGAAAAATCAGTGCTTGCCACCCCAGCCAGTACCTGTGGAAGCATCAGAAGACCCATTAACCCCAGAGCTGGGCCTGCAGCATCCTGTGCCAGCTGTTGAAAGCTTTCCCATTTGTACTGTTTTATCCCTTGCTGCTGATCCTGCAAGACTGCAATGCCCTTACTCCTTGTCTCTGCCTTCAACCTGCTCAAGCTCACCTCCAAAATACCTTACCTGTCCTGTGCCTATCCCCAGCTGTCAGGACTGCTTCTAATTACCAAGAAGCATGTATCTGGGTAAATATCCATCACTTGCCACCCCCTCCCCCAAGACGTGCATCAGCTGGATGGAGTGACAGGCACTTTCATCCTGCAAATCTCAACCAGGATCTGTTGTGAAAATCAGTGTACTTTGTCAAATCAAACCTGGTTACTTTGGACTTTCACAGTAGTGGGCCCTGCAATCCAGAACACATTACATATGTTTAACAGGAAAACTTGAAAATTAGTATTTGCATCTTTAGGGGCCTATTTCTAGGAAGAAAATCTGAGCATAAGGCCAGGCCATGGAGATTTTCATGGAGGTGACCTGAAAAGGCTACACCAGAGAGGCAGATGTCTTCATATACATACAGCTCTGCAACAGTACATTACTTTTTTTTTTTTAATTAAATTGCTGTTTCTGTTTTAGATCACCTCTAAAGAGCCAAGTGCAAACTGGAAGATTACTTTTTATTTACAGAAGAAAAAAAGAAAGATAAATTATTGAAACTCAACTGATGATGAAAATTGTTTTATAAATCTTAGCAGGTTTCCATTAAACAAAAATACCTCACATGCTAAGAAGCTGATTAAAAAAGAAAAAAAATAGCTGATTAAAAAAGAAAAATATTTAATAAAGATGCTTATGTGGAGATCCCTGAAAATACATTGCACAGCTCTGTCTTTGGAAAGTTAGTTCACCACAATTTAGTAACAGTGTGAACTTATGATCATAGTATCATAGAATGGTTTGGATTGCAAGAAACCTTAAATACCATCTAGTTCCAACTCCCCTGTATGGGCAGGGACACCTCCCACTACACCAGGTTGCTGAAGGCCCCATCCAACCTGGCCTTGAACACTTCCAGGGAGGGGGCATCCACAACTTCTCTGGGCAACTTGTTCCAGTGCCTCATCACCCTCATATGAAAGAATTTCTTCCTAATGGCTAATCTGAACCTACCCTCTTCCAGTTTGAAACCATTATGATGCTTTTTATCTATGCTAAACGTATTCCCCTAGCACCCTGAGAAAGCACTGCGTGGCAAAATAGGGAAAAGCTTTCTAACTTTGGCTGCAGAGTGGGAAGCAAGATGCTTTTCAGGCATCATGGCAGCTCCACTCCCATCTGGAGCTTCCTTTGAAGAAAAGTTTACAAGCCTAGTTGTACTGGAAGATATTAGGTGCAAAATCAGTGGATCATCAGATACTGCATGTTTTACCAAATTCTCTGACCTCCTTAATCCTCACTTGCTGCTCCCTCTGGTCACTTACTCCTCTTCTTTGCACTCAGATCCCATGTCTGGAAGGGACAGAGTCGCACCATGAGTCTCACCCATGAAAAAAGCCTGGTCTGAGTCAGAGACGCCTGCAAAAGCTGTTCTTCCTAGGAGATGTAACCAAGCCAGGCAAGCCTCAAAAAAAGGCATTAACTATCACTGAGAAAGAGTAGGCAAAACAGTTGAGAGATGGATTGATTCAAGCCTTTTCCAGGAATTTTTCACAGAGGAGCACTGCCATGATGCGTTAAAATTGCCCAACTGTCTCCTCCTAAAGAAAGAAAACCCTCAGGCAATGCAAGCTTCAGTGGTCTGTAGTGCTGTTTCATTCTGTCACTGGCTTTGAATCCTGAAGCTATACACATATCACACTTACAGGTAGGTAGGTAGGTATGTACGTATGTATGTATGTGTGTGTGTATGTATGTATGTATTCCTCCAGTACTCAAGACAGGAATTTCAATGCATGGGGCATGTTTGGTGAGTGACTAAGAGGAGGGAAGATGATTCCAAGTAGAGGCAGGGAAGTTTGGTGAGCCAGGAAAAGGGGGCTCATAGACAGATGCCAGGGCTGTGGGATTCACAGCTACGATGGAGGCCTTGAAGGCAGATTTTTGGTGGATTTGAGCCTGTCCCATTTATATTCAAGAATCAGCAACTTTCTATTGTTGGCATATGAAAATTTGGTTGGTAATGGGTTCCTTGTCCTTGAACTGTGGCTCAGTGTTCCATTTGCTGCTTGTATCTTCCACTTTTGTACATGTAGAGCTACATTAATTTGAGAAATTAAATTAATCCAGCCCTGCATATAGTTTTATAATATTTCTGTTGTAAATGTTCTCTGCAAATCTTAATCCTTCCTATAGGAAATTAATAGTTCAGCAAGTAGCAAGGTTCTGTATTTTCACCTGCCAGATTATTTATGTCAAGAAAACCTAATTATCCTTGTTCTTCCCACAAACAGAAGTTGGCTGGTTCCCAGCAGACTCCTGCCACCAAATCATTTAACAGTAATTTTAAGTTTACCTAAAGACAACTGACAAGTACTATGCTCAAGCCTTTTATCAAAATTTTCATTAGTCATACAGAAATAAGCAATTATACAAGTTCAGTACTTATATATTTTAAACATCGAATAGTATATATTTCCAGATAAAAAGTTATATTGCATCTTATGTCAAGTGGAATCCAAGACCACTGAGAGACTTTTGGAGCAGAAAGATCTTACCTTGCAGAAATATGTTCTTTCAGCTGCAGAATGCTTGCAACATTTATCAGGAGATATTGTGCTTCATTCACAAGAGAGAGTGAGATGTTTGTCGCAGGTGCCAGACCTAAGAAAATTAAATCAGTATTCTAAAATGAGAATTAAAAATCAAGATGATTGTACTAGTAATTTCACTTAATTTTTTCTTTGACCTCTTACTCATTCTCACTAAAAAATTATTCATTCGGCTCCAAACACTAAGGAAAGATTCCAAGAACTCACTTAAACCTGTAAATAATAATGAAGCTATGCATTTAGAAACTGAGACAGAGCTGAGATTTTTCCAAATTTGTAGAATAATTTATAGTCCATCTATGGATTTGCTCTTTCCATTTGATCCTTTTTATAATGCAATTTCGTTGAAGAATAAAATACTTGTTTATAGATTTTTCATGATCATTTTTCCAAATGATCATTGAGTTTCCAGACAAAATCATGGTCATGATGATAAAAAAAACCCAGACAGGTATAACAAGTAGAAAGGCAACATAAACACAGTTTGGGTAGAAATGTACCCTTTGAAACTTACTAGATCAATACTGAATGACTCTTTCATCATTTATCAGGGTAATAATATAATCAGTATGAAGTTTGTGAGCCTAATGTTTACTAAAGAGAGAAATCACAACTATTTCAAAGAATGCCAACATACCTTTTGTATTTTTCTGATGTGACTTGTTTTTTACATCTGAACTTTGTCTTATCAAGCGACATGGACGACGAAGAAACAAAGAGAACCAGCCAGCAATTCTGTCTCCACAGTCGTATGTTTTTACCCTATTACAAGAAAAGAGGGACTTAGGAAAATTTGATTGCCAAAACATTAATTTGCAAAACTGAAGAAGATGTTTATTCTGCTGTTTCCAATACAAAATACAGATTCTGTAATCTTTGAGAAGTAACAAAACAGAGATGTGAAGTTCTACATTATTTTATCTCTCAATTTCCTCAACTTTACTCTGTTAAGTCTTGAAGTTAATATTAACTAGATCTGATTTAGCTTTATACAGAAAATTACTGTGGAATAAAGGAGTAATTAATCGTAACAAGACGATTATTATGATAATTGTAATAATTAAATTACGATCATTAAATAATCGTAACAAGTCAAGACAGTGGCTCTGAAGTACAGTAACTGTAGCCCATATTACAAGATTTCAATACAGTATAATGAAAATGTTATTCTCTGGTCTGTGCTTTTTACTAAAACAAGGAAGATTAATCTGAGTTGAATTTAAGATTGCCCCACTGTGACACATTGTATGTACTTTTTAATGATCCCATCAGGTACAATGATACTAATTCCATAATTTAATTAATTAATGTTGGTACAGACATTCCACATTAAAACATGGCTCCACTAGCAGACTGCAAGTATCTCTCTATCTAAAGATGATTTGCATTACTAGTAAATTGTCTAGTGAATTGTGCAAGGATGGCAAAGATTTGCCTTCTTTACCTGGATGTAATCTCTCCTAGAGTGTTGTGGTATCACCCCTTTCAGTTCAGGAAGGGCACAGATCAGACCACTGGGAAGTGGTCCTATTTGCCATTAGATTCCTCAGCCCTGAGTAATCTTAACTTCAGTCTTAAATTACTTAAGTAGGTTCCCTTCTACAGTTAATGGAAAGAGGTTAAGTAGTTCCCATCTATATGAGATGTCAGGATTGGATGACTTTCAGTCAGGGAGTGTTTAACTCTGTTGACTACAAAAGTAGATCTGACTGACATCTAACTTTTAGATGGCATAAACAGTTAAGAAGAATGTAAATTTTCATCCCAATCTAGTAAAGATTTTGTAGTAAGGAAAGTGAGGTAACAGTGGTCCTACATTCACCTTTTTGTCCTGCCCAGCCAATAAAGCTGATCTGCATGGAGACTATCTGCTAAGCGAAACAAGAAAACAGCTCCTGAAAGCAAAAGATGCTAAGCTCTGTGACTGAGAGAAGTGGCTTGGCTTTATGAAATGCTCTGTAGGTTCAGCTGACTTACACAGGTAGAAAGTCAGGACAACTGAAATCAGAGAGATTTTATAATCCTGCAGGGATTAGATACCTCCTCATCAGATGTTCTGAATTTTGATTTTGCTGCAGCTCTGCATCCCCTTCCCCACTCTGGGACTAAGCTGATACCAACCACAGCTGCATCTAGCCAGCAATGTCCTAACGCTCAAATGAAGCTCTGGTATTATGAGATGTAAGTACTGTGGCAAGAAACAAAGGCCAAAAGGTGAGACTCCACATGAGATTCTATAATCTGAGCTGAAAAATTCTTGTGTCCTTGCTGATGGCTGTGTTAGGGGGAAGGCTGCTGAAGTAAAGGCATGAAACTTCCATGGTAACCGCACAGGTGAAACAGATACCGCGAATATTTTTTTCCTACCAAACAAAGGTTGGGAAGGCTTCCTCTAGAAGCCTGCTGAGTCTTAACACTGTATAAATCAGGATCAAAGTTTTGCCCTCTTTTTATTTGCTTATCATTTTGAGTTACAGCAGCTGAGTTAGAGACACAGCATTCTTAGTATTTCATCAGATGTCACTGTGTGGTTTTGTCTTTTAAGACTCCTATGTTCCCAAATTGTTGAAAACAATTTTGTCAGAGCATTTTCTGAGCAAGTATGAACATCTCTTCAAGGTCTTTTTCAAAGTCCTTTTGTTGTAGCTCAATTCTATCAATTTTTTGCTTATGTTTATTTTTACTGAGCATTACTTTACATTTGTCAGCATTACATTTCATCTGGCACACACCAGGCAATTTATAAAGGAAGGCCTATTTCTCTCAGATTTTCCCTGCTGTTTGCCTTGAGTTCCACACTCATCTTCTTACTATGTCATTTAGCTTCAATGCCTTACAACTGGTCCCTCTAGCTAGGTAATTTATAGAACAAGAAATAAGGACAGCCAGAGTCTAAGTATTGATCCGAAGGGATATAATACATACTTTTATGTTCACCTTGTTTTTAACCGTGCCTTTGTCTTCTACCACTAATACCCCTCCTTTGATCTTTTTGATATTGTGGCCTGTCAAAGAGGAGGCTGTGTTAGAGCAGAGCACTAACCTTGAGTATTTTAGGGTCTTATACAACAGCAATAACCTTAACATTACTAGCTTCTACTTGCATCTGTCCACTGTTGGGTATTATACTAGAATGCCACATTCTTGATGATATGAGCAGCACATGCTGATAGATGGCCCCTGTTGAGATGAAGACTAACACTAATGAATTGCTTCACAAGGGAAACTTGGGCTTATTAAACTTTTATGGCTGCTGTGAAATTCAACTTCCTCATGTGACTGCTTGCAAATTCTACATCATGTGCATTTCTCAGCTATCTCAGTGTAAATTCAGAGTAACCCCCTAAGCCAACAGAACTGGATGAAATCAGAGAATGTGAGAATAGAATTAACAGGTGAAAAAAGCCTTCAGTAGGGGTTTATTTTGAATAAAAGCCTTTTAATAAAAACTTCTGGCCCCAATGCTTACCACACCCACTTTGCAGAAAAGACCCCAGACCTCAAATCACCTCCTGTCCTGCTGCAAGGCACTGTTTTGCTCCTGTTTTCATTTTTTTGGCCATGGAGGCTCCCTTGCTGAAACACAGGAACCTGGCATTAGAGCTATTGGATCTCTGAGCAGTTTGGGAGCCTCATCAGTTCTGTTCACTCATTCTGCTTACTTCCTGACTTTTTTATTTACAAATTACAGACCGCTCTGTGCAACTTGTCTGCCATATTTGCCACTCCATCCTTTTTTTCCTCCTCAGAACTCTCAAGCAGTTTCCCCTGAAAACTTCCTATTTCATACATTAAAAATGACATGGTTGGTGACATGAAAGACAAGTTAGAATAGATAGTATGGCAGCTAATTACGTGCACACAGAGAGAAAGATAGCCTAGGCTACTTTACAGCCTATAATAGATGCACTAACCATGGGGAGGCTAAGGATGAGTCAACACTAAGGGAAGTGGGACAGATGGTTAAAACAAATGCCTCTTGGGTGAATTCCAGTACCTGAGGTAAAAACACTTCTGAGAAAAAGATCCTCTTTATCATCCCAATAGCTAGTAGAAAAGAAGATAGTTTCCTTCATGGGTCCACGGGGAAAATGGCCAGGTCTTCTGCTGGTTTGTTTATGTGTTACCCTCAAAGAAGCAAATGTAGAGGATTACAAAGAAGATGTAAATCCGTAAGTGGCCCTTTTAGCTGGAGTTACCAACAGACTCCATGAAAAGAAACATAGTAGATAATGCAAATATACTTTAGGAAGGTACTTGATACACTGCCACTCAGAAAACTTAATGAGACTGGGAGTACTTAGAAAATATGATGGATAAACACTTAAGTTCACTGATATTTAAGTTCACTGAAAATTAATTTATGCATAATGTTATATTTCATGAAAGTGGTATGCCTCTTGATTAGAGTTAATGTTATTTCACATACTCACCTGCAATCTTTCCAAGATTGTTAAGGGGACATTGATCAACACGGGTGGTCAAAACAAAATTAAAAAGGGTTGTAAATATGGAAAATTGTTTATAACCTCAGCGGCTTCTAGCAATTTTGAATCTGCACAGCATGATATGGGCAAAGTTGCCCATTACTCTCAAATGAAGGAACTGAATTCTAGAGTCCTGCTGAGGGCCCGAGTTGGCAGTTGGAAGTAACTGGGCACACCTTTCCCTTTTCTCATTCTTGCAGCAAGTTTAATCACAGTCTCTTGTACCACACTTCCCTTCCACTTAAATATTTAATATTTTTAGTGTTTTCTACCAGACATGCATGCCAAATATTCTATCTAAAAATGTCTTCTCCTGGTCCACTAAGTCACTGACTGCTTTCCACCCCCTGCCTCTTTTTTTTAAGGACTTCTGTCCCTGTGTGTCCATCCAATTGTATTCTTAGGGTCACTGCAGTGATTTTCAGCTTCAGTTCCTCTCTGCTCTCACTCACCTGTGTGAACAGACTTTGCTCTCACAGATCACTGTCTCTTTTCCAGTGTTGTCTTCAAGTGATACAGATATTGGGTCCATGCCTGGACGGGCAGAGAGCAAACCATATTTTAAAAATCCCCCTATTTATGCAGAAACATAGGGTCACGACAAAGTTTTTATTTTTTCACCTGTTCACAATCACAGCGGCGTTCCAAATAACATGACAAAACCCCCTCTCTTTTTGCTAGAATTATATTCTCTGCCTGCAGGTGGCTCCAAATGATAATGCAAAGAGCAAAGGCTGCAGATGACCTTGGTACCCAAACCACATTAAGCAATGCACAATTTCGGCTTGAAGTAACTTAATTCTCTGTGTATCTTGGCCAATGGATTACTTCCTCACTCATGGTTTCTGTTGAAAGGATGAGTTTGTTGCTGTTGTGCACCCTCTAGCAAATCAGGAGATGAGGTTAATCACTGTCAGGTTGATTTTTTTCTTTGCAGTGGTGATCAGAAAGATGATAGATGGAGGGAAGTGTTGGAGAGAAAAAATAAGCACAGGCTGTTCAAGGAAAGAAATACAATGTATCATAAAAGTACAATAATTTAAAGACAACATTTATGGAAATCACTAACTTGATAATTATTCCCATCTATTCATCTCTAAGTTTAAACCAGATGAGGAATCCTTGGTAATGATGTATGTTAACAACTTCTTCTGTAGTTTTCTTCCTTTGAACAGAATGAGCCAAAGGGACGGAAAGGCTACTGTGGCTTGCTGAAACTAAAAGAAAAGCTGAGCTATTTTCCTTTCTGTTAATTGAAAGCAATAATCTGAAGCAATAAGCAAAGAGTTTTACTGTGTGCCTGCAATGAATTCAACTCTTTTCCATTATACTGCAATATAAACCAGCAAAGACTGATCTCCTGTACCCCAGCTTTATATCAACGTTTCAATTTCTCTCATTACTTCCTGTTTGTATTATTGTGTACAAATGAGAATCAAGCTCTAACAGCCCTGTAAATGGTAAAATAAAATTGTTTTATTATCTTCTCAAGCATAATTAAATGTAATTCATATTCACTATATCCCACTATCAGCTCTGTTCCACATAAGTTTTCAATACAGAAAGAGGTCTACTTCTTTTTTAGCTAATGAAGTTAGTATACTTCAGATGCAAAGACAGAGGAGGAAAAGCTAGGTTCTCTTAGAAAAATAAAAGATGTAAGTATTGGGCATTGAACTTGCTTGCAATAACCTGAAAAATAACCCAATGTTATAATCTTATAAACTAGAACTAATGCACTTGATCTTTGAAAAATTAATCATTTGAATCATTCCTTCTAGAAAAGAGGAGTTTGAAATGTTTAATCCTGTAGGCATCTTTAGCTGTTACATCTTTTAAAAATATATTCTAAGCAAGGCATACTCACAAAATTTCTTAAAATAGAGCTTCAGGGTTCTAAAAAAGCCCTGCTTTTATACACCAGCAAGTGCATCACATTTTAATTGAACAGTAAGCATTTTACATTAATGTTTAGGTCAGTTAAACATTGTTAATTACAATTTTATACTATCTCAAGGCAAAAAAATAAAACAGAATGTTGCCAGTTACTAAAATGTAAAAGCTGTCATTCTCCATGGTCATTTGCTTGATAATAAAATTCACAGATGTGCTCACAGTATTAATATATAAAAAAATCATTCTTGTCTTTATAGCTCCTATTTTCAGTCAATGAGAAAAATTAGAGGTCTGTTATTTCAATAGACTGAAATATAAACTATTCATGTGTATTCTTTCATCAGTGTATGCACTTAATTCCCATTATTTTTATTGGCAGTAACACATAACTATTTGAAGGCACAATAAGCTCCATAAAGTATAATTAGTTGCTTAGTTTTGCTAGCATCTTTCTACTCCAATATTTTAAAGGGCCTTCATAACACTCAAAACTTCTCCCTCTGTGCAGTAACAAGCTAATGCCCAACTTGTCAGAGTAATGTTGATTGTTAGCTAAAATGGAAAGAGAGAAATTAGTCTACAGAAATATATTCTCCGCTGAATTCTGTTTGGTTTACTTTCATGTCAGTCAGGAACAAGCCCAGTGCAATCTGTGCCACCATGTATTTGATGAAGCAGGACAAGAAGATTTCCCTTTATTCCCATTCAAATAATACAGCTTCTAGAAATAAAGGCACTTGCTCCTGCCCACCTTTAAGTTGCCAGGAGCCTAACCATTAACTGCTAGTTGAGATACAAGTTGTCTTTCTCCACTGAGGCTTATTTAAAGTTGTTACACTGATTTTCTCAAGGTGGGGTTAGTGACACTGTTCACATCAAGAAGAACAGGAGATGTCTGTCAACAACCACAAACCCTAAGGAAATAATTCTGCAAAATTCAGAAATGTAGTTTCTCAAAATTAAAATCTCACTCTTTCTGCGAAAGTAAAGCACAAGCCCTTCCTCAAGGACCTGGAGCTCCCACCTGCCATGCAAGCAACTAATGTTGCAGGCGTGGCAGAGAAGGATCCTAAGCCTTGGAGCAATTTTGGCCTCATGTAGAGCCCCAGTCTGATGTCCTTGCTACACACAGAGACAGCAGGACAGCACAGTCAGTCAGATAGTGGGTCTGCCCTTGCAAGGCTGGTTGTTAGATAGGCTACAGAGACAAGCTATGCATAGGGGTTAAAGAAAAAACATGAAGTGGTGTCTCAGCACACAGAGGATTCAGCAAAAGGTATTCAAGTAGTTACTGTCACACTAAATCATGTTGACAGTTTTATTTTGTTGGACAGACACCTCCAGACAGCAAAGCACACTCTAGATGGAGATGATTGCCACAGCCTGCTCTCACAATGAGAAAGGCACAGATGACAGCAGAGAGACTGGTAGAGAAAGCAGAGTGGAGAGGAGCAGGCTGTGGGCAGCTAGCTTGGCTGCGGTTGTCACCTGGTCATCTGGGAGCTGCTTGATTTTCACCTGCAGCAGAGCAAGAGATGCAGTAAAGGTAAAGCCCAAAGGTTTTGCCTTTTGTTTTTTCACCACTGTTGCCTCCTTCACCCACTGCTCACCACCAGAAGTGTCCTCATCACTGTGAAGGCCAGAGCAAATGCATGAGGAGTGGAGGGATTGCTGGAGGAAACAAAACTCCTCTTGGAAAGTTGCCTGCTACTGCTGCAGAGGGAAGGCAGCTGGGGTGGGAGACATTCGGCAGGAGAAAGAAACTCACAAAGCAACAAAGCTGGAAGACACCTGGAGGTAGTTGTAGTCAGCAGGCTAGGTGCTACAAATCTGAAATACCACTAGCCACAAACATAGGGCAGTGAAAGCTCTGAGCTGGGCAATAGCCAGCCTGACATATCAGAGGGCTGCTGCTCCTCACCACACGGATTGCTGCTCCAGCTGGCACAGCATTCAGTTTCAGGTTCTACATTGGCAAGAAACTACTCACAGACTGGAGTGATGATAAAAGCAACAGTGATTAACATGGGATTTGCAAGGCAAGAGTCAACTTATTAAATTTTTCTGCCATGAAATAATTTAGGTGGGAGAGGTATCAATGATCCATGGATGCGAAGGGATAAAAGAAAAAAACAACCAACCAACCAAATAATGGATTTAGTCTGCAGGTAAGAGGAAAGAAAACATAATAAATATTGGAACAACTTCCTGCAGATTTATCTGCTCAGCCTTACCCTGTCAGTTCATATGTGTTCCCATCATTGTGCTATCTTATAAGCACTAACCTCAGGAATAGTCTCCCCAGGCAAATAAGGGCCATTATCTCACTGTCAAGCATTAGAAAAATGCCACAGGCTGCAAGTACGCTATAAGAGTGAAAAATAGCAGTACTATTACAAGAAGAGGGCCCAGATTACCTTGCAGGCTACAATTATTGGTATCGAGAGTCATTATACAAAGAATAAAATTCCCCAACCCTTACGTACTAGCTGTGCCAAACTAAACTATAAATAAATGCCAAACATATTTCTGTTAAAGCACATTGGAGAGCTGATCAATCACTTTGGGGCAGAAAAGTGATGCATAGACTTGGTCAACCACTTCTGGATGGAAATGCTGCTCACTTTCAGAGGAAGGAAGGTGAATGACAGCAAAGACTCCAAAAATGACAGAAAGTAAAATGTAGGATTTAAAGGTGGATTTCACCCTGGCACTAGTTAAGGCAAGAGATTGTAAATCTCAGTGAAAAATGGGTTTCTTGACTGTCATTTTTGTCTGAGAAAACTTCTTCCTGACTCTCTGAAGTATGTCAGTGCAGATATTATTGGAAGGCAAACATACTAATGGATATGCACTTGTTTGAAAAATGGTGTACTAGCAAGGAAAATAATTAAGAACATACTTAAGAGCAGAATGATGCAAACAAGTGGCCCAACAGAGTTGAACCTTTGAAAATGTAAAGAATAAATGGAGAAGATTTGGGCATGACTTCACATTTTATCTGCAAGCTAGAGGTACTGGCAGAAAGAAAGATATGTGGAAATGAACTGAATTTCTAGAAATAATTCATTCTGAAACACTTGTAATTTAAAAGTGGTGAAAGAAGGTTGTCTATGAAAAATTTGAAGTGCAAGGTGCTACACATAGAATTTACATGAATTAACACCACCTTTTCAAAGAAAGATTACAAAGTGAAGAGTGGAAAATAGAGTTTGTGCCAATGAGCAAGTCTGGAATCTCTCAGATGAGACTAGATTGTGTTTGGAATCCAAAAAATACATGCAAAAATCACACAAGACTAAATGAAGTACTGAAATGTACATTTGACAAGCCTATTGTAGACAAAATAAATGAACTGGTCAGACATAAATTTATGAAGAGCACTCGGACAGCTGGAGAGGACAACAACTATAATGTACATACAGAAAAGAGACTGTAGTTACAGACCCACTCATATGGATTTCTAATAAAAGGTGAAAAAAACTGAGCATAGGTTCCTCTGTTTTGCTCTAGCCACTGAAAATGTTGGCAAATATATTATTAATGCTTAAGACATACAGGCTGAGTAAATGTTAGACCCCAGGGAAATCACAGAATCACAGAATTTTTTGAGTTGGGACCTTAAAGATCATTGAGTTCCAACTCCCCTGCGTGGGCAGGGACACCTTCCACTAGAACAGGCTGCTCAGAGCCCCATCCAACCTGCCCTTGAACACCTCCAGGGATGGAGCCCTGATAGCATCTGTGGGCAGCTTGTTCCAGTGTCTCACCATCCTTATGCTGAAGAATTTACGCCTGATCTCTAACCTCAATCTCTCTTCTTTCAGCTTAAAACCATTAACCTCCATCTTCTCACTGCAAGCTCCTCTAAAAAGACCCTCCCCAGATATAATGAATGATGAACACCATTCAGACACATGCAAACTTGGCATTAATAATGACTTTTGTGGAATGCAAACTTGTTCAGTGCGGACATCACTGAACTGCAAAAAAAAGCATTTGCAAAGGGCTTTCTGTAACACTTTCCATGTTGTTTTTTTTCTTTGTTTTCTTTCCCCTCAGCAGAGAATATAAAGGGTTTTGATGAATTCAGCGAGTCATGAAATATTTGCCTGCTAATGCAAGTATTTAATTGAGCGAAGTAATGTCTGGTCCTTACTTTAATTCATACTAATTTCCACTGAAGAATTTACCTGGAAGAAGGTAGAAGCTGGAAGAAGGACAGCTATAAAATTGAAAGATCTTTGGCCAGGGTCTTTTATGTTAAGACTGCTAATTCTTCTCCTTTGCAGCAATAACAGTCCCGTCAGGCTGACGGACTTCAGGATGTGAAGAGATAGGCTAGTCAGTAAATTTCCACATCTGTCAATTCATTACTCCTTCCTGGAGGGTACACTTAATGATTGCACATAGGCAGTCACTGTCAGTCCCATCAACAAGCTAGGAAACTACTCAGGGCTGTATATTATAGCCAAGGCTTTCTTTGTCCACAGCTGGTAGCAGAATTTGTCCCTGAAGTCAGTAAGTACATGCAGCATTCAGTAGTTTGGTAGGTGTGTGCAGGTGTCTCTGTCTCGAAGTTTGACATGAATTACGAAGAGGAGAAAAGGATATTGGTTACTAACCTTCTGCCTGTATGACCATAACCTTTTTGTTCAGGTCAATTGAAGGATTTACAAGACACAACTTTGGTTCCTGTTTCTGAGTAATACACACTCCATTCTGGTTTACAACCATCCAGTTACGGTCAAACAGCAAACCCTGGTTTCCCACTGGCCATTCTGTAACCTGGAAAGCGTCAGGAAGAGATACAAAAGTTTAGAAAATGTTAGCTACATTAGTAGATTCGTGTTGATAAGAAAAGAGAGGGAAAATAAACTGTTAATGAAGTATTCTGAAATAAAGAAAACCTGTGCAAGTCAATGTCAGCCTTAAATAAGAGAAATTTTAATTGCAAACCAAAAATAAAGATATCACTGCATAAAGCTGACAAAACGAGTTATGATAATTTGCTACATATTATCATTCACTTTGATTTAAGAGAGCTATGAGAATGAACAACCTCTGAAACATTCCGAAAACAGCTTTCAGTTTTACACTAACCCATTTTCTGAACCTTTTCCCCCAACCATTTTAATTCAAAAAGAATGGACATTTAATAAGAGTTGTACTAACTAAGGCAAAACGAAACAAACAAAAAGCAAGACAAATGTGAAAATCGAAATTCTGAAAAACCTTCCACATTTTCCATAAAACTGGAACAAATTAAACAATTAATTCATTTGAGAAAACCTCCACCACTGAGGTTTCTGGGTTAGCTAGGAGCATAATAGTTTCTTCGGATCCCCTCACAATAAAACACATTGTCTTCTTTGCTAGCTGTTCTTCCATCAGTTCCATAACACTCTTTACATTCAATAGCCTATACAAGCATATTGTCCTTGCTTTCATGTACATTTTTCTGGTGAAAAGAACATCTGTTACTGATGCTACACAGATGGTAATCTTGAAATCCAAAAAGAGAACAATTTTAGTAATGCCTTTGGGTGATATTAATAACTGCTTTCTCCTTCAGAATCTTAAAATATTAATACCACTCCTCTAACATAGTGCTGGGCATTTAAACATATTGCTTCAACTCATGCATGCTTTCTAGTCACAGTTGAGTACAGAGAAAAGTTAACTACAGCTGAACTTTGTTGAATTCTTACAAAGAAGCTTAGTGCAGCTCACATGACTGACCTGGCAAAAGACTTGGGCAAAAGTATAGAGTAAAAGATATGTCAGGCACAGCCTGATGGCTCTGAGTAAAAGCATGGCTAGAAGCACTGCTTAGATTAATTAAAAATTACATTTTTGTTTAGCATGGGCTCTATCCAAAACCCCACGGAACCACAATATCCCTTTCTTAGAAACTTTTCCTGGTTTTATAGGAGCCTGCAGAAACGGCTTGACCAACTAGATGGACTGACTAGAGAAAGCTTAGGGCAGGCACTCTGAAACTGAAGAGTTAAAGCATTAAAACTGAACTCTAAATTTAAATTTGGCCACAGTGCTATCAACTGTATGGAGTACAGAAAATACATGGCAAATTATCAAAGATAAGAAATGTATTTTGTCAACCTACTTGGTTTATAATATTCTTTTGGCGATTTAAAAAGTGAGTGTGGATGAAAAATTCAGTCAAAAATGGAAGCTTTAGGTCTGACAGTGTCATCTGAAATCACGTTGTTCAAGTGCGTCAAACTGTCAGCAAATATATGATGTGAACGTTTTGCTCTGTCTTTTTAGGAGAGGAATCGTAGCCCAAAGTCTGCAATATCAGCTGAAATAACTGACTTTTGTCCTTGCTGGAAATTATTCTTTGGAGAGGCCAGCATTTTTTTGTTAACCTGTATAATTAAATTACAAAATGAATCTGAACAGCTGGTGATCATCTGAAAGCTGCAAAAATTCCCTGCTAACAAATCTCCCTTTCAAAACAGAAGATCACTAATTGGTAATACCTCCTGCCATGGATCCAACAGATCTTTGCAGTAATTGCAAATTATAATGAGCAGAATAAACTAAAAGAGCAGAAAAATTGAAAAAGTGAATAAAGCCATGGATTCCCAGCTCCCTACTGTCACATTCAGTTGTTTTGGTTCCATTTCAGGACAACAATCTTTGTCTGGAAATAGCTTAAGTGTTTGCTTACCCTTCACCAAAGGTAAGAGGTTTTATAAGCAAACCAAAATGTCTTCTCTTTAATCACAGCTTTAGCTAATTCTTACATGATAATAGGTATCGTGGGGAAAGCTCAGCTGACAGGTTGCAGATATTTGGATATAATGAACACCTTCCATTCAAAATGCCCTTGGTAGGTCCAAAGTAAGGGTAAGTAACTCCCTGCTCCACTCTGAGATGCAGCACATGACTACAGATCCTGGGCCATTTTTCCCCTTCCTCTGGTATTTGACATTGGAACAAGAATCATACATACATATGCCCAGCAGGAAGTCTCTCTAATGAATGTCCCCTGTACAGTGTCAAGTGCCCTACTTCCTCTCCATTTTTCAACTCACTGTATTGCATATGGTGCTAGGACATCAAAAAACAAAGTTGCAACAGCAAAATAACTGTGTATCTGCCTTGGACAGAGTCGCAGATGATCAAGAAACAGTCAGAGCTGGTTTGTTACTAATACTGACACTGGAGATGAGCATGGTAGAACACACACGTTTCTATTCTTAGTACTTAGGAATGTGACCTGTGCAGACTGTCTCCTGCCATTCATTATACTAAAGAGGCTGAAGGGATTGTTACATGACTGGAAGCAACTGAATTAGAGAAGGTCAAGCAAATCCTGCGTGCTTTGCTTTCATCTGAGATACGAGAAGAGTGGTTCCATTTGGCTCCCGTGGATTACATCTGAGATGTCTGCCCAGGGCTGGCAGAAATGACACAGGCAGCAAAGATGATCCCCATCCCAGTGGACCAGGGGCAGGAAGTCAGTTAGGGCACCCAGATATCACTAAATACCTATACTAAATACCTATATGAAGGCAAGGACACAGTGCAACAAAGCACTCAATGAAGCTTACTGTGATGCAAAATAGAACAGGTTAGAGTACATTGCAGTGGGCAATACTGTGTTACATAGTTTCTAATTTGATTCCCTGAAGTTCTCTTGTCATCTCTAACTACTGAGACACATTAGAAGAGCAAGGACAGAAGGAAAGCAGGGACACCATGATTTTACTGAGAGATGCTACTAGCATACACCTTTATTCCCAGCATTGCAAATGGGCTAATCATCTAACATAAGGTCTTCTCTACCTGTCATAAACAAGGACCATTGCATTGTACAGTCAGTACATATTATTATCCTATCTGGTTTAGTGCATTTTTCTTTTTGAATTGTAAAAATACTCATTGCAAAAAACAGGTTTGGAGATTTTATTTTCATTTTCTTTAAAACATTTTGAGCTGTATTCCTCCATAGTTCACAGTAATGTCAACATGAAGGGTAACACAATTTTCAAACACATTAAAGGAATCGCTAAATAGGTTTTAAATTCTGTAAGCTTAAAAATGTTGGTGGCCTTGCATAGAATTTATCCACTGATCACTAGGAATTTGCATTGTATTTTAAATTAAAAGCTAATTTGTCTTCTGTGTTGAGATGTGATTTTTATTCTCTGCAAACTACTACATGAATAATACAGTTATTAATGTTTAAAGTCCTGACCTTTTTCACTGGGCACACTGCATTATGTAATTATGCAAAATTCATTGACATGAGAGATGTTAATGTTTAAAAATGCATGTTTAAAACACATTTTTATGTTGGAAAAGGAGAAAAAACGTAATCTGGGATAAAGTTTACTCCTCTTCTCTGCTTCTTCTCATTTAATAAAATAATAGTGGGGAAAAGAAAGTGCATTTAAGAAGCCGAGTTAGAATATTCTGCCCTCTGCTTCCTGCGCCATGTGTACAAACCCCACGGAACAACTTTGAACAGAAACTGTCCCATGGCCAGGAACATATTATGAAGCAGACATGGTGTAGGAACTAACTGACCTGCAGTGAGTGGATGAACTTCATGCCAAGCTTCACCCTCCCAGCTGCCAAAGCACTCTGCACTCTCATTTTCTCTGGAGTTAAAGCACCTCCCATATTAAAACACTTTGAAGACAGCAGAGAAATCAGAGCTTAGGAGAGAAGGAGATGATGTGACTCTAAAGAGGAGATCAAACAGCTGTGAGTTTGTACTCATCTCATCAAGTTTCTTCTCCCTCCACTAAGTCATCTACTCTGCAACCAGTAAGTTGTGTATTAGCATAAAGTCAGCAGGCAGACTTTACTGGTGGAAGGACTGTGTGCTGGTCTCACAGCTGGAATTTTCCACTGCGCATGTTCTTTTAGACAAATGCAAGCAATCACGTATTTAAAATAAAGCCCATTTACTACACATGGTACACATTTGTACCTCCTCAATGGGCAGACAATGAGATTGACAGATCTTTCACAGGCTGGTTATCAATGTACGACAGGTGTAGAAGGGTCAGACATTTGGGAACAAAAACTTGAAGAATGTCTGGCGGACAGGAAGGAGATCAGGAAAACAAACACATTTTCTTCAGGGTTTTACTTTGATATTGAAAATAATGAGAATCAATCCATCAATCTTGGTTTCATCTCCTGGCCTGCTTTCCTTATACATTGAAAGCACATTTTCATTTTATCTATTAGGTCAGCTTCTACTGTTCTTTCATGTGAACTCATGTATTGTCCATGAACCAAGTGGAAATGCACAAAAAATTATTTTTGAGAAGAGGAGAAGAAGAATTAAACACTACTGATGGTGAACTTTCAGTCCCTTCCAATACCATGTACTAAAGGCATTTAGTTGTATACTACTCTCTGGCAATACAGGCTCTGACAGTGCTTAGCCTCCTGGGTTCTAATGTGGCTGATACTTTGTTATAAAAAATATCCAACCAGAATACACTAGACTTCAAAAATTATTCTAAGCATGCAAAACCAAACCTTTTAATATAGTTGCAATTTTAATATCTGTATTTTTAAACTATTCAAATCAGCTAGTGGTGGCTGTGTAATCCAAGTTGCCCTGGATTCCTCCTGTAGCTCATGGAGAGACAGAAATATCCATAAACAGTAATTTTTCCTACTGCAGATGACTATTTTATGATAAGGTGAATTAGCAGGTATCTGTCTCTCACTGCTTACAGAACACTAACTTTGGAGGAGTAAGTTGAGGTAAAATGAACCCTGCTTTCATGCTGGGCCCTTTAACATATGCCTAGGCACAAGAATGATGCACGAGGAGCTGGGATTTTCCACCTCCGTGTAAGATTGCAGTTCTGCCTGTCAGGGAGCAACACGTTTGTATGAACTGATCACCTAGAGTCGTTCCACCTCACAGGCCTTGAAGGGAAGAAACCTGGCTCAGCTTGTGGGGAACATAAGCTGTCTTTCATGCTGAGGTAGATCTTACCTGCTCCGGGGCACAATCACTTCAAAGCCTTCCTATCACTGAATGTTGTGGTATGTATCTCAAAACACAAAGCCTGCAAGTTAAAAATGGAATTCAACCCCCAAGGGGCCTGAATGCTGCTACAACGTATTTCTTCCATAGTGGGCTTCTATAATACAGCTGTAATAACTGCAACACTTAAACAAAGGTTAAAACATTTTCACATGAAATGCAGGATGACTTTCATTTCCTACACAGTTTGATCTAGTGGGAGATTAATAAGGCATGGCAATTGTTTGTACTGGTCTCATTTAATGCCCAACATTGTGCCTCTGAATTCAAGACATCAGAAGCCAAACCAAATTTAAAAATGCAGATGCCTTCTTGATCATTTAACAGTCTTTGCTTTAATTCCGCAGCCTCTTTCTGCATTAATAAGAAAAATAAATCATGATCAAATCAGTTCAGAAACCATAAATTAAATGCAGGTGATTTGCCACTGAATTTTACCCCAATTTTCACTCTGATGTGAGACAGTGACCTACCCCAGCAAGTTTTCATAGGGAAAATTATATTGATATTGACATTCATTAAATCACTTCCCAGTGTGGCACTAAGCAGAATGACATTCTAGGTCATGTGTGGACTAAACACCTATTTCATCATGCATTATTTAAAAAAAAAAAAAAGGAAAAAAGTCACAGCTAAGGTGATGATATTATTAACTTGGTAAAAAAGCAATTAAAATCTTCAATGAGTGAACTTTCAAACAGTGCAGCAACACTTAAATGTCATATTTCTGTTGCAAATGTATTTTTAATGATAACATTTCTTTGTAATGTAAATTAGCCTCCTCTCAATTATAACATGTTAATCAAGTTATTTCTCAATTGCTGCTTACCCATCAATGCCTACAAGTCCATTGCATCTCATCCTGTAAAAGCATACTAATTACTTGATTATATTTTAGCCAAGTTTTGCAAATCCAACTATTTTCTTCAAGACTGCATATTAAGAGCAGATTAGTCTGTCAGGGGAGGGGAAAGCAGAAGACATATTTGCATCCTGCAACTTCAGTCTAATTGCCTTCAAAGTACCTTAGCATGATACCTTAGCAAAATAGCTTGATCCTAGAAACTGGAGAAAAGGGAAAAATGGGCACCCACGTCCTGTTTCCTAATAATTCATGAACATGCTATTCCTGGTTGACATGTCCAAGAGGAGTAATGAAAAACACAAGACTGAGATGACCATTTAAGAACGATTCAAAGGGTATACCTCAAATGCAGAGCAGGATTTGATTGGGTAGAGGTAAATGTTGGTGATAGTGATGGGCTTTCCCCCTTTTCTGTATGGTGGCACTGCAGTCTCAGAAACAGCTGCCCTTATGCTTTCTGCCTCAGCCTCCGGTGGCTGCCAGTTGACAGTTGTCTTTGTCACAGACAAATTATTCCTGAGTTCTCTGTCCGAGATCTGTGGTACTGCAGACAATTTATCTGCATTGTTAAAGGAAGGGTGGTCATCTGGGACAGTCTCTGTCATCAGCTTTGTAACAGACGACTGGAAGGGAATCTCACTGTCTGACTTGGAGAGTCTGGTGGCTATGATGAATTTCAAAAAAGTCTGTGCATCTTCAAAAGAAGACAGGTAGCCAAAGGATATTCTCACAGAACCAGTGGGACGTCCATCAACGAGGTCTATATCATCTCCACAGACATGGCCAGCCTAGTTTGAAATAGGAAGAAAACCAAATAGAACTTTGCTTTATTTGCCTCTGATTTTACATAGTTGCGAACATGTCTTTTACTTCTAACCTGAAAAACTGTTTTCAAAAATACTAAGTTAACTCAAGAATACAAAGAGAAAATTGAGAAAAACAACCCCAGCTATCTTATTACTTACTCAAGCTGGGAACAAGATCATTTTGAGATGCTTGACTATTCTACCCTAAGACTAGAGAGACTTCTCAAAAACATGTCAAGAACTAGAAAAAGTTTGTATGTCCTAGAACAGCCTGTTAGCTAGGGCAGTCTCCAGGTATATTCCAGTGTCACCTGCATAGTACCATTGCAATTTAAACTGGGATATTACACTTAGATAAGTGAACAAATTGACTGCTGATTTTTCTGGGACAGTTTTCTTGATGTTTGCTGTCAGAACAGCTCGACTTTATATTACCAGTGGCTTATTCATGGCTTGTGTTAATTAGTTCAATGGACAGCTATACAGCTGAGATCTGGTCTGGGATATTAGCAGAGACTTGAATTGAGAGCTCCAACATCCAAAGTGACTTGCCTTATCATTAGGATATGCAGTAGATCTGTCTTTGTGATCCAGTCAATACATTACTTTCAGGATGGAAAGAATTAGCCTTCCCCCTAGCATTTCCTCCTTTGAAGCAGACAGCTCACCAGTCCTAAAAAATCTTTGTTGAAAAATGCTTCACATACCCTAACAGTGACCTCCACATAGATACCCCTCCACTTGATATGTCTTTCATACAGCACTCTCTGGAAAACTCTCCCTTAGAGAAGTTTCTCCTTCAGTAAGTGTGTCAGTGAATGCTGTCACTCAACTCAAGTAAAAGCTAGAGACTCCCTTTGTGTATCCACCTAACAGTACCTCACCTATGGACATAAGATTTAGTCCTAGGTCAGCATCTTTGGTCTTTTAAGTACAGCAGCTGTTTTTTTTTCTTTTTCTCAGAATTTAATTTATTTACACATTTCCATTGAATAAAAATGAAAGTGTGAATAGATTATTTACATGAGAGCTTTTTTAAGCAAGAAATGTCACAGTTCAATGAACACAGATGCCATTCATGCAAGGAGTAATAAAAAACAATTTCTCTGTGAAAAAAAATGCAATACAGTAGCAAATATTTTAATGTCATGTGATAGAGTTTATCCTTGACAATAGAGCAGATGTAACATTTGCAAAATTAGGTTGCATCTGTTAATATATATGTAGCCCTTCTGCCAAGTATTGACTGACTGATTGAAGATAGAAGTTCCTGCTGTGTAGATAAGTAAACAAGTTCCTACCTAAGGCCCTAGGAAAACTAACCACACTTCTCCACAGACCCCTCAGGACAGAAAGTTCTCCCTCACAGGCATTTTTTTAATAGAAATCTTCATCAGGGAAGGAAGAATACAGTCAGCACCCTGGAAAAAGGCAAAACTGAAGTGTATGTGCAAACAATGTGATAAAAGATGCCTTCCCCTACACAGTAATGTTGTCAATGACTCATCCAGATCCTTTTCAAAGGACTCATGAGAATGTCTAAAAATAATCACTGCTTGACCACACCACCTCATCACACCACTTTTGGCAGACTGAGACTGTCTCATTTAAGTTTGGGTTTGGCCTATCCCCATTTAAATGTTCAACTTTATTAACATTATGCAGATGTGTAAGAGGCCACTCACTTCTTAGCAAAATCCTCTTTCTATAAAGAGATCCCAGAGCTTTGCAGATGGTCATTTGACATTCTGCACTTCAGCAGAAGGGTAGGCCTTTTTTTCCTTTCTCAGATTACCTTGGGGAACCTGCTCCCCCTTGAAAATTCAAGCATCACTCACTGGGTCTTAGACAATTATGCATGAGGAGACTATGGATATAGAGCTTTCCACTGTAAATCAAAGCACCATTTTGTCAAGAAAGTTATTAAAAAGCCCTTTAAGATCTTCTGCTATCAATCTTGCACATACAAGTGTTTACAAAAGTTAGGTGTTTACAAATGTCTCTGTGACATTGTAAAGGAGCCACTGTAGCTTATTGTTCTTTTTTTTAAAATATAATAAATATTTTTTTTACTGTTCTGTAGTAATTTACCGTAATTTCAAACTCTGACAAATATGCAGACATGAAGTGTCTCCCACTTCACTCTAATACATCCTGTAACACACCTTTTACTGACAATTTATGGAATACATTAGTCATCCAGAAAACAGTCTTTAAATCCGTGTCCTAAAAATCTAACATCCCAGTAATCTTGGTAGACATCATCTAAATTTACTCTCTGAGTTTCACTGTGTATGCTCATTTATTATTTCTTGTCCAATTTGTGTATGCATTTTAAACTGTAAGATCCCACAGCAACACGTCTAGGATCATTCAACATTATTAAGTACAATTAAGGGCACTTAAGGAACAACATGAAATGAATTGTCCAGGAACTTCTGTTCTGTAGGAAGTCTGAATTTCATGTAATTCCAAATCAGAACAAAAGGCCACAATTATGTATTTTCCAATGACATGAAAAGAAGTAATACACACTGCTTTGGGTGCACAAAATGATTTTGTTTCAAGACTTCATTTCAAAGACATTTCAATTAATTTAGTTCTTTAACATGGCTATTGATTTGAAAGGTCAGAGAAAGCAAATAAAATTTGCCTTCATTCTTAAAGTCACAGAGACTCAAAACCACACGACATGGTAAACCTACTTTAGCTTTTAACTAATTAGGGGCTTTTTTTTTTTGACAGAGAGCCAGATTTTCTCCTCCCCTTCAAATCTCCCACCTTTAGGAAAATCAAAACTGACAGCCAGAAAGAAGATGCTGCCTGGGTCACACAATCTAGGTATCTTCCATGGGCAATATATCATGTAATCTCATTCAGAAACTAACCTGCAAGTTCCTCTGAATGTCCTCATTGCTCATCCCCAAATGAATCTGGCAGGCTCCTGTGTTACAGAAGCAACCTGTGCGGAGATGTATGTTGTAGGACTGGCCATTAGCTTTTAGCATTCCTGTACACATTTAGGATTTTTCAGCCTTGTTATTCAGTGGAAAGAAAACAGGGATGGAAGCAGAAATGGTTACCTTGGCATTGAGAGACTGTGCGCACAGCTTACACACAGACACATACAGAGCATATCAGTTCAGGTCCTAAACCTGTTAATGATGGTATATGTGTTTAATTTAAACCTGTGAACAGGTTCATTCACATCCATAATGCTAATTACAGGCCTGTAGTCAAGTGTCATTCAGTGTCTTGACAGAACTGTGACCTCCAACTGCATCTGCAGAGATTGAAGAGAGAGAGGCCTGGGGCACCTCTTCAGTAAGCTAAAGAAAACCTTGTTCTCCAGGGATTTCAAACTGCAAGTCCTCATTACAGACAATGACTGCATCTCTGGGATTTTGGCATACAAATCACAGAATCACGGAATCTTAGTGGTTGGAAGGGACCTCAAAAGATCATCTAGTCCAACCCCCCTGCCAGGAAGGGTCACCTAGAGCACATCACACAGGAACGTGTCCAGGCAGGTTTTGAATGTCTCCAGTGAAGAAGACTCCACAACCTCTCTGGGCAGCCTGTTCCAGGGCTCTGTCACTCTCACAGGAAAGAAGTTCTTCCTGATATTCACATGGAACCTCCTATGCTCCAGTTTGCACCCCTTGCCCCTTGTTCTATCACTGGTCATCACTGAAAAAAGCCTGGCTCTGTCCTCCTGACACTCACCCTTAACATATTTGTAAACATTGATGAGGTCGCCTCTTCTCCAAGCTAAAGAGACCCAGCTCCCTCAGCCTCTCCTCATCAGGGAGAAATTCCAGTCCCTTAATCATCTCTGTGGCTCTGTGCTGGACTCTTTCAAGCAATTCCCTGTCCTTTTTGAACTGAGGCGCCCAGAACTGGACACAATATTCCAGATGCGGCCTCACCAAGGCAGAATACTGATTGAGTCTTTCATATATATCTCAATATAGACATCAAACTAACTGGTATAAAGTTACTCCAGCTCCACTGGAGAATTAATGCTTTCAAGCCGTACAAAGACTGGACTATTGTGTATTGAGTTTGTGTATTGTGTATTGAGTTTGCCCAGCAGTTCCTTGTTTAACCATGCTGGTCTCCTGGCTCCCTTACTTGATTTTCCACCCACTGGGATGCTCTGATCCTGAGCTTGCAAGAAGTGGTCCTTGAATGTTGACCCATCTTGAGCCCCTTTACCAACTAGTACTTTGTCCCGTGTCCACACAGGATCGTGAACTCCACCATCTCATGATCTCTGCAGCCAAGGCTGCCATTGACCGTCACCTCTTCAACCAGACTCTCCTTGTTGGTGAGCACAAGATCCAGCAGCACTCCTCTCCTAGTTGGTTTGTCCACCATTTGTATCAAGAAGTTATCATCAATGCTTGAAGGGTCAGCCCCCTGCATAAGCAATAACATCTGACAGGTCAGGGACTAAGCTGGAATACCTCCAGTTTACCTCCTTGAGTCTTCTACATATGACCACTCAGTCCACAAACTCCTTGGTGTACTTTTTGCTCATACTGTACTGTGTTATACCATTTCTTTATTGTCCTCTAAATAATGAATAGGCAGAAATACAATACAGGATGACAAACTGGCATGAATAAATTATGTGAAGGAATGAAATGTGCAAAGAGAATAGAAGCACGTCTATATGTGCCTAGGAAGGAGACACATATATGCATGCATTGGTGGAAGAGCACTGCAGAAGATACATGGATTGTCAGGGTTTCATAGCACACCTAAGAAACAGCAGCACACCATAGGGATCCTCTTAACACAGTTAAGAAATCACGGAAGCATACTTCAGGGATCTGAAAATGTTTTATGTTGATTCCAAAAAGCAACAACAGCAACTGGTAAGGTTAACTAAGCAAGTATAGCTACTGCCAGTTATTTCTTTGACTACAGATGATGAACATTCCTGGTGATGATGGGGATAAAGGACAGTCAGATGGTCAGAAAAGCAGCAAGAAACCTGGCACATCCTATCTCTACCTCAGACTTGCAGAACAAACTCGCACAAGCTGCATCAATCTCCTTGTCCTTTTGCTTCTTTTTCTGCAAAATGGAGAGTTGAGAGCTCTGAGAATAACCACGCTGCAGACTGAGAGGACCCCAGCACGCCAGTGACACAGTCCTCCTTGCAGGGGGTTCAGGCTCAGAGTGACAGCTCAGCATAAAGTTGCAGGAATGGAAGTGTTGACCACCTCAAACTAACCACTTCCCTAACTGTGAGCTCATGCTTTATCTGCCTGAAGTATCAATGTAAACAGTTAACCTAGCTTTTCTAGCTGGCATCTCTATTGGCTTTTGTCATTTTTAGTAGCAGTTTCTCTTTGTATAGGATAACGTCCCAATACATGTAACAAGTACTTCTGGGTATGATTCAGCCTGTCTCCTGTCTTCTGATGTCAGCCTGTCTTCTGCCATCTCTGAGTTTAACTGGGAGATATCAAGCACTTTTAACTTAATTATCTCAGCAGCTTGAAAAAACAAGCCTTTTGTTAGAACTTATTCCAAGCTGAATTAATTCAATCTAATTAGTGCTTGCCTTTGCTAAAAGTTCAAACAGTTGAAACAGCATTATGGTTTTGTTGGTTTTTTTTCATGTATGGGGAACAAGGAAGTCCACACAAAGATGTGTTGTATATACAGAAGAAATTCTACATCATTGCAGTGCACGAGTTCTCAAGTTCACACTTAAATACATTCTGCCCCACTAGTTCAGTTAAAAATGGTTAATTTCTCAAGCAGAGGTACAATCAAGTAACTCCATATATGCAGACTTGGAAATCAGATAATTCAATCAGTCCTAAGATCACTATTCATGATTAATGCCATAGAGAATATCCTGTGTTCAAACTATGCTTCTCAAATCAAAGTTATAGTAAAAGGCATTTGTTGAGAAAGACTGTTGTGGTGTCATTAGCTTTGTTCTGTCAGAAGACTTCAATCTGTGAACAGTGACATTTCCTTGACTTCTTTTTTCATTTAGATGAGAAAAGTTGTCATCCTGGTACAACATGGTTTGTCATGATGCTACTGACTCATGGGTGGATCCATCTTTCTGTTAATCATGACAAGGAAGGCAAAAATCATGCAGATGCTTCACTACTGAATTTGTACAGTGTTTGGGCTTATTGGCTCAATCTACAAAAAACTTGAAAAATACATAGATGATTTATTATTATTAAAAATAATAATAATTATTATTATCATTATTATCATTGCTGGGTCAGCCTTTCTAATCAAAGTGTAGTGCAATGAAGTTTTCATGCCCCAACTTCAAGAATTTTTAAGAAATCTTCTTAATTTTGTGAAATAAATGATTACTGTTCTTTAATGAACCATAATTTCATTTTAGCTGTGCGACCCACTACCCTTCTCCAATAACACTTGTGTATTAACCTGTACAGTAGAAAAAGATTATTGATACATAAACACATAGGAACATAAGAGGAATATATAGGGAATTGTGGTTCAGGAGAACAAAGATACGTTAGCCACAACTTCAGTATTAATCAAACTCTGTTATCACCCATGTGATAAGGCACCCAGATCTTTGGACAGTGATGCACACTTTCCATTGAAAACAATTTTACCATGTAAAGAATCAGGAAGGACAGCACTGCAAATCTATCTGTCCCTTGAATGCATGTTTGACTTTCCCTTTGACATATGCTTCACTTTTTGCTTGTTTAGTTTCACCCTGGAATTAGGCTACTTGGGGAGTTAATCTCTCTCTGCAGTACTACCACATAGCCAAACAAATAGGACATAAAACATCTGTTACAGTTATTTCAATTAAGAAAAGCTTATTTAAATAAAGCACAACTTTAAAATTGCCACAAGGAGCAATAATGGCTATGGAGCTCAGGGTTATGCAATACAGAATGTTGCTTGCAGCTCTGTCTGTAAGAGCAGTAGGTGACTTTTGGGAGCCAGGAATATGTTTATCAATGAAGGCACAGAACCATGAAGAGTGTTAATGGTAAGTACACAGCTTAATATGTTCAGATTGTCAGTTTTGGTGATTCCCCGGGTCTGATATTTGGAACTTTTGTGCCTTGGTCTTTCAGAGCTTAAAGACTACAATTAAACTGCAAAAGACATGCAGAAATCTTGGAGCATTTTTACTGATTTCAGTCAGTGAGGACATGGTAATTTAGGCATTACAACATCCTGGAGTCCTGTCTGCTCCTCAGAGCCCTTTAGCATCCATTACTTTTCTGAAGCTCCACTGTGGGCCAAGCCCTGTAGGTTTCTTCACACCCTGACACTTCTGATGTCAGATCATCTTGATTTTTGACAAATGTGGTCTTCAAGTTTAATAAACACACATAAATAAAGTTCACCAAAGTCAACTTTTAAAATAGTTATTTTTTTAATTATTATTTTTTCTTTCAGAGGTATTTTCTATTTTAAGCATAATTTAGTGTTTCCCAATTGACCAAATGCTCACAGTTAGGAGTCTGTTTGTTTTTTGTGTGTGTGTGTTTTTTTTTTCTAATAGTGTTCCACATGAAAAATACTAGTCCAATGTATTTTTTTTTTTTAATATAAAAGATGTTGAGGTGATGAGGGCTTTCTCCCCTTGTTTTGATGCATAATCCTACAACAGTCTCCCTAGGATAAGTGGCATTTTAGTTCCCACTTGGCAGCTGGACAGTCCAAAAATACCCTTGATTCTGGTGTGTTCTGATTTCCCATTCTCTGTCACCCAGCTGTACCCATGACTCCTCTACCTTTGCTAAATGCCTGACTTCTGCTATCCATTCACTTTAGAGCCTCTTTGGTGGTCATTTGAAAGGTGTAAACTTCTCTGGCTTTGGTAGCCCCCCAGTATCAGATCACGACAGTTCCACTAAAATAAGCCTGAGGATGATGCTTAGTGTAGATAGTTACATATTAAGTGATAGTAAATATTTGCAAATAGAATCTAGTTTTGCATTATTTCTAATCAGCTAAGTTTAAGATTTTGAC